CAACTGTAATAGTATAATCAATAAAATATATTTAAAAAAGAGTATTGAAATTTGGACTTCTCATTATATGATAGGTAGAATTTAGACATGTAGTGATTAAAGAAAAGAACATCTAGAGTCTATGATGGACAATAGGAAATACAATAATATGAGCATTTAGGAAAGAAGGTCAGGATGGCCAGTAGTCTACACAGATTATTTAAAAGTAAATCATGTCAAATATGCCTCACTGCATTTCAGAAGGGTAAGAACTTGGTACCATACCAGAAAAAAATGTGAACATTGATTGCAGTAGAACAACCTTGGAGATAAGTCAGTGAAATATATTCAAGCCTGTTTTGTTCAACACTTTTCAATGACATTGATGATTATCAAGAAGACTTTTAGTACCTTTATGGTTGATACAAAGTTGGAAGGGATCACTAATGTGATGACATACTGAAGTCTAAACAATTTCAAGAGACCGTATGTAAAGTGTCAACAAAACACTAAAGGTATTTCTGAGCCAAGAAAGTCAAAGAGAAGGAATATCAAGTGTGTGAAATAACCCAGAAAGCCATCTTAGGAACATTAAGACTCAGAAAGTTTAACTAATACCCCTCAAATCATACGGTTTGTGACGGAAGTGGAATGAATATTCCAGGTCCCTCTGGAATCAGTCTGTATTCTTTCTTCTCTATCACAGAACCATGAAGCATATGTATTTCTTAGGGAAACTTCACATTGTATTTTGTATTGAGTAGAAAATGGAGGTAAATGTCCTTTCAGGTCACAACTAATTTAAAAAAATCTACATTGTCTTTCTGATAAAAGATCAATGAAGTTTGGACCGAATATATTGAGTAGAGTGAATTGAAATGTATATATATAAGCTGAGGTGTATGTGCCTAAATGAGATTACCTTGTTTTAATTGTTCTTTTCTTTATTTTACAGTAACAGCAGAATATACTTGCCCTGTCAATTAAAGATATTTCAATCTCCATCCTACAACAAACATTTCCTGATAGATTATTAATTGCTAAGAATGTTTGAAAGTACTGTAGGTACCGCAGGATTCCTCCCATTAAGGACTCATATTTTGTTGAGTGGGGTATCTCTGGTTCTCCCTCCTCAGTGGTTCTCCTCATTCCCTCTTTCCCCCAACGGTGGCATCTTGTCCGGAAGGAAGCTTCAGGACACTGGCAGATCAGGGTTTCATCTACACTGGCCTTGGGTGAGGCGTTTCTTACCACTTGGTTCCTGGATATTGACTTCTATCCCCTCCAGATCTGCTTCAATGCGACATGGCTCCTACAATCCCTGTGTTCCCTGCCCGTGTGCCCCCACTTTCTCCATTCCTAAATCCCTTCTTACAAGTTTTATCTGCTTTTCCTGATCTTCACTGCAGTGCAAGGGCCCGTGTAAGACTGCTGTCAGGTGCACATACTCAGGTACCTCCCTTGTTACTGCCGCTCTGCCTCCCTCACACCAAGGCAGATGGTGCATCTCTATCCTCCTCTAAAATCCAGGGATTTTGAACTAAGCCAGGGCATGGAAGCCTGAACTCTGGGACCCCTTTCTTATTCTCTTTCCCGGCACCTCCCTTCTGACTGAGCAAAGGTTTCTCCTCTTTCCTACATGGTCCAATGGAAGTTTCAAGAAAAGCAATTGTCACATCGACCAAACATTGATGTAAATAAAGAACTACTGATTTTAGTATAATGCATGGGTAGTAATGTTAAAAGGAAAAAGCCACTTCATAATTTAATCTGAGGTGTGACTCCCATGATTAAGGCGGTGTCTGTTCTTTTTTGAAAATATGCCTCGTCTCATGATCTCTGCAAAATAGCATCGGTGCTCTAGGGCTTGGAGATAAGAGCACTGATGTTTGAGAAGTGACATTTCAAAATAATACAGTGTGCTACATATGAACAATGTTGGGGAAAATTTATGTGAATGAGTAAAATATTAAAACATATAAACAGACATTGTGTATATCACTGGGCCCAGGGCTAAGCTTTCTGAAGGCAATGCAGCTGCACCTCAGTAGGTGCAGTATTGTACCTACTGTACCTACCTATATTGTAGAATGAGCAACAAAGATTAATCAACCAAAATTACCCTTAAAAATCCCTCAAATGTGCAAAAAAACTCTTAAGTCCCGAAAACTAGAGAATCAGAATGACTCTTTAAAAATGTGATGATTTTGTGTATACTGCCCCAAATGGTAATATTTGGGAGGAAAAGTATCATGTTTGTATGATAAACTGTACCTGGAAAATATATTCTTACAGTGTTTTTGTGTTTAATGATATGAAAGAAAATCGGTACAGCTGGCTTTTGGAAATCAGCTGCACGTGTGATGGGACCGCATTCTACCGTCTGGAAAAGGACCGACTTCTGCTGCTTTCTCCCGTGCCGCCTTTGCTTTCGTATTTCTTTTTTTTATGACTCGATTCATTGAAACTTACACTTAAATGTTATGATTGTTAAATCTTTTCCTATTTTTCTCTCAGAGTGCTACAGAAAACAAAATTCAAAGTGCTCTCCTCTACTTACTCTGTAGACAAAAGACTAGAATTACAAATAGTTTCTTTCATGTCTGTGAATAATTGCCTGTCACTTTTCTATAACCTATCATTTCAGCTTTTTACTTAAGGAGCTAATTAAGTGATTCCTGGAAAGGTTTCTTACCCTTTCCTTTATGTTTTATAAGAAGGAAAAAAACTCTCTTTCACATGGGTTCAGAAACCTAACAAAAACTATTGCTGTTCAAGGTACCAGACTTCTTAAAATATATCCTTATGACACAATATTGTCTCCCCGACACCAGTCCAGAGCCAACACTTATCTTGGTATGGAGAGGAGGGTAAATGTTGAAGATACAGAATTGAAACCTGTCAGAAAAAAATGGGTTAGAATCATCCCATCAAAAACACCTATTGAAGAAAAACTCTTGACGAATAGCGGGGAGGTAGGGAAGGATAGAATGGATGGAAGATGAAGAGAGACAGAGTAACATTTAGCAGACAATGATTTTGAGAAGCAAATGACCACAAATGACACTTGGGAGGAGAAGTTGCAACCAATGTTAGGAAGGACACCGTGTACTTTGTGATGGAATGCCACTGACTCCCACTGTTGCCTTTTTGTTTAATATTAGTGAACACTTTTGAATTGTTACCACTTTGGGACATGGGACTATGCTTAGACCGTCTCCAGATATTCTGAACACAAAAGGGGAAGGAAAGGGAGAAGGCAAAAGGGAGGAGAAGGCATTGGGTGTGGGATGTGAAAGACAGAGGAAGGCAGCAACATATAAAACCAAGCCTGTGACATGATGTCAAGTTTCCAAGCAGGGTTCTTTATATTATCTCACTTAAGGAGGCCAAAATAATTAAGACAGACAAAAGTGTTATGTGAAAATTCCATAGCTTCCCTGAAGCGTTTTCCCAATTATTCTGTTTTTCTAAATATTCTTAGACTCCTCCTCCCATCAGTGTTCAAGAAAAACTTCAGTACAGTTTTTAAGATTTTCCATTGGTGTCTGACATCTGACCTGTAACTGTTTGTAAAGGATTTTAAGATTGCGCACATGTGAGTGTATGTGTATGTGTTCATGTTATTGCTTCGAATACTTGCCAAGCACATACTTTCCCTTCTCTCTTATTCCCCTCTCCTGTTTACGCTCCTCTCTTCCCTTTTCCCTCTGCCTGTAAACTCAGGTCTTTGCAAATGGTCAGAGAAACAACTTAAAACGTTCTTATTTTTTTATCACAGTCATGCTTCATTTTTTATTAAGAGGTAATATCTTTTTGATTGTAAAATTCAATAAAGTATATTCCCTTTTCTCAAAGACTGTAAAATTCAATAAGGTATATTCCCCTTTCTCAAAGACAGAAAATTCACCCTAAATATTGAAATAAACCAAATTAAAACTTCTAAGGATATGTAATTTCCAGAAAGGAAACAAATATCCTGAAGAGAACAATATGTGATCTGTGTATACATTTTCTCAACGTGACTACTTCCAAAGGAAACCAGTTATTAGGTGTATAATTTCTAAGTTATTTGTACAACATGCATTAATCACTTGTATTTAAATCAGGCACATGCTGCATATTGTTCCCACGCTGTTAAATTGTTACTTTTTTCTCCATGATATTTTGAGTAACTGATTATGACTTGAGTCAGACTTAATCATTAGAACTATAACCGGTGTTTATTTTTTGTCCCCCCATAGAAACCTATGGAGTCCCACTCTTTGCTCAGTCTGGCCATTAAATTGGCCACGATAGTTAATGGAATTCATGTAACTTGCACAGAAACGTACTTTCAAGGAGCTAAAACTTAAAGAGTTTTATTGTAACTACATCTTTACCTTGCAGAAAAGGAGAAATGTTAAATATTCCTCAATTCAGTCACTTCTAAAAATTTATACATTTACTTCTTCACTAATTAAGAAACACACATAGGCTCTCTTGTTCATTTTGACTTAAAAATTGAAGATCTCTGCCACTTGACTACAGTAATGATTTAAAACATCAATGGGCTGATTTCTGCCCCCTAACATGCTTTTACTGATGCAGTTCTGGGGACACTGTAGAATACTTATATTTTTTGGTACATCTTGGATGGTGTGGACTCTGAAAATCCAAGTTACACCCAAGATTTCATTCCTCTGTGATTACTCAGCTGGGCAACAGACATGCAGGACCTGTCTGAAAGAGACACTGACATCAAGTGGGCCCCACCAGTGACTCATCCCTTTAATGTAGCGAAACTGTAGAGGGAAGAGCAGGGAGGATGTATTGGTTGTTAGGAAAGTCCAGTTTACCGGTGGAAAATGACATCCTCCATGAATAAGATCTAAGGTGCGACTCACATAAATGTCCTAATTTTAAGATTGATGGGAGATCATGAAGCATTCCTTTACGTCGATGACAGGTCATCATAAATGCCTCAAGTGTATAGGACGACATATGGTTTTAGAATGTGACTTTATGAAGAAGGTGGAGATCCCAACTCCCTCTACCATGTCTACACATATATATACATATGTCTGAGTGTGCATTTGGGTGCTCTGGGCAGTGTCTTGACAGAGAACCTGAGCAGGACAAACCAGCCTTGACCTGAGCGAGCTAACTGGCACCATGAAAATATCAGGTGTCTTTCTGCTCCTCTCTCTGGCTCTTTTCTGCTTTTTCTCAGGTGAGTTTTTTTTTCTTTAAAATTGAAATCCAATATTTATGCTGAACTGGAAATGCCAAGTGTATTTGTCCACCCAGACCAATTCTGAGAGGTTATCCTGATGATGATAATGATTGTGATGGTGAAAATGATAATAGTAATAATGATAAAAATAACTTTCCTTTGTTGAGCATATACTATATTCTAGGCATGTAATAAGAGCTTCTAGGTATTATCTCCAAAACACATAGCAAGATACATTTATTTGTAGTCTACATGTAAGAAATCAGGGCACAGAAAAATTTAAAAATTGCCAAAGGAATAACAACTTGTAAGTAGAATTTGGAATTTGATCAGGTCTTTTAGACATCTCAGCTTATGCTCGTTCCACAAAACTAAGCTGGGGGATGGCTAGTTGTTTTAAGTATTAGCTTGGCTTTCTAAGACAAAGAAAAGCATTCTTGTCCTCATTGTTGTTATACAATAATTGGAATTAAAATTGAAACAAGGGGGGTAAAGGAAACTCAATTAAAGAATCCTTCAGAAAAAGAGCTATCCCATGTTCAAAGACTGCAATGTATATGCTGCTGGGGAACTCAACAATTCTTCAAGAAGGGGAAAGTCTTTGAGCAATAGCCTTGTGTTCTATCAGTTCAGACTGTTCAAAGGACAAGCGTACTTTGATCTGATGTCTTTCAGTCCAGGGTCATGTGGATGAACAGGGTCATGTATCTCTTTCTGTCCTCCATGCTATGGGAGTGGACAAAGCACACACTAAAGGCTCTAGACCCAAGACCTATGCCCATCTCTTTGGCTTATGGCCATGTCAGCTGGAGATACAGCTCAGCTCTCTGAGATGTTCTTTCATTCATGAAGTTCTAGAAATGAGCCTGGGTCTTGGAACTTTCCATGTCTGATCTATCATTTTTGGGGACAAAAGCTGTTGAATGTGGGGACTATCAGAGATTTTAAATGCCTGAACATGGAAAAACAACAATTTTTCAATGAAATTAAATAGCTAAAGAAGTTGCTGTTCACAGGAAACCAATCATATTTACATGAACAAGCACATTTAGAAATATGAAGAAACTGGATAAAGAATTACTTTGATATTAAGAATAAGCTTGACCACTAAGGCTAAAAACATGAAATGGCATTTCTGTCAACTGTGGAGATGGCATAAAAAATAGATGTGACTATATTAAAGTCTGCTTACTAGGACACTCTTTGAAATTAACTGATATGCTCTTATTGCTTCCCTTTAGAAAGGTAAACTGATTTGTTAATTGGATCTGGTGGACTAATGCACTGAATTTATCAAAATATGGTTCTTCCTAGATAAATCAGTGTTTAGGAAGGCTAATGTCTCAGAGCCTTCATGTGGAATTTCAGTCCTGGCATTTCCATTCTATAGCATGTGACTTTTCTCAGTCTCTCACTCAGCTATAGTAGAGAGGTATGAAAAGAACATTTCTGAGTGTGCAATTAAGTAAGAAAATGCATGTAAAGTGCTTTATATAGTGAAGGGGATACAGTTAAAGTTCAACAAATGTCTATTAATATTGACATTTTTAAAGTTTAATAAGACCACTGTACAGAACTCAGGCCTTGTTGATGTTAACCCTCCCTCTGCCTTAATACTTCATACGTATAAGACATTGGACACAAATCTCTCCTCTTCTCCGAGATGGAAGTAAAAGATAGACAATTGTACATGAACAGTAATTGAAATAAGATTTTAAAAAAAATTCTCCCTTTCTGATAAAAAATTCGTACCACGAAGAAATGGCCGAGAATTGTAATAATGAGTTTCCTTCAGTCATAAAAATCACTTTCAGTGGTTTGCAAAACTATAGACTTCCATGCCCTGTTTGGTCTCTATAATGGCATTTTCAAGTCATTGTCCTCAGCATCTGTATCTTTAATAACAGGGCCGCAGTGAGGTTGGCAGTCATTGCCGCAGACGGCCATTGTCTTCATTTCAAATTTAAAAGCCTTGTTCCCTTCTCACCCCCACGAACAGAGAATGTGCTTTAAGATATTGCCAGTTGCCATCCCTCACACGCTGACACTTATCCACACACTTTCTGTCACCAAGGTGGCTTTTGGCTAAATGCGCTGGCTTTGGGAATGCCACAGAAATGACCAGAATTGGGGGCATACCAGAAATGAACTGAAGATTTTATTATTTCAGTATTTGAAACCATTGAGCTGATTAGCCACAACCTAAAAGCACGGACATAACCACAAAGATGGAAGGAGACAGAGAATCAGGACTGTATTTATAGATGGCTTTTCCTCTCTCAGGAATTTAAAGAGATGTAGCAAGAGCAATGAGTCACAGAAGCCAACTGGACTCTGCCCTTGACAGTGTCTATTTGGGCCAAGTCTTTAAAGCTGAGCATAGAAGTCAGAAAAGCAATTTTGAGCTCAAAGAACAAATAACAAAGTTAATCTCTTCCTGAACTGCCCGTGACAAAGACAATACACTGAGCCTCAAAATGTCCAAGTTAGAGGTGACTTTCCAGCCCAACTTCTCTGAAGGAAGGCCAGAGATGAGGTCATCCCCACTGTGAATTAGCAACTAGGCCAGAACTGTAACTCGAATCTCCAGATCCCCAAATAATTTTCTCCCACCCATCCCCCAACCCCTAAGAAATATGACCTCATCCTGGTCCATCTCCTTTCATCACTTTCCAAGTTTCTACTGCTCCCTAAGCAGTGAACAGGCATAAAACAGTAGAACAACCATGCCCTCCCTTGCTGGGAGGACCAGGAACCAAGAACAAGCATCAGTTCAGGCATGAGGATTTCTTAATTTTGCAAATGCCACCTTTTGTACCTTCAGCAATTACAGTGTTCAGATTTTGTGCCTTTTTTTTTCCAGGTGTCTTCAGTCAAGGAGAACAGGTCAGTGTATATTTTTACTACTCTTCAGACCTGGGTGAGGCTTGCCTGGTGGTTCCCAGAGCCAAAGGTTTGTCTGTGGGTGAAAGAGCAAAAACAAAGAAGCAGGCCAAATCCAGAAATCAGTGGAAGTAACTCATTTTTTAACTCTAAATTCTCTATGAGTTAAAAGACCCTAACCACCCATTCTCAGGTTTTGTTAAAGTAAAATAACTATAAATGAAAATAGGATGAATCTATGTTGACACTCATACTGTATCCCTGCTTTCTCTGTAGGACCTTGGGCAAGTTACTCAGGTCTTCTGAGCTGCAATTTCTGCAGCTATAAAAAAAGGGGGACAATCTTATTCACCTCACAGAATCGTAGTCAGATTGAAATTAAATAAACTGTGTGGAAGCATTTGGCAAACTGTAAAAGAACTGGTTATTGACTGATAATTAACAACTATTGAAGGCGTTAGGGCAGAGGTTATCTTCTTTGTAGAAGTGAGGCCACCAAGAGTAGACACAGAAGTTGCTTACTGCTCTGTATTGAGTATACACAGACTCATTCCCACAAATGTAAATACATTTTGGGCAAAACATTGGAAGGGGCACAAATTGTCTTCATTGTCTGGTTGATTTTTTCCCAAATGAATCCACCAACTTTTTTCTGGATTGCTTGTTCTATCAAAAGACAACATAAACAAGTGGTATTTGCACAGTCAATCCATCCTGCTCCTGTGTCCATTGAGAGCATTTCTACTTGATCTTGACAATGGCTCTCGTTAGCCTTGGTGTGCCCAAGAACCTGACATCAAACGTTTCCAGACCCACCTGCCAACTATTTGGAGTTGGCAAAAGAGTTGAAAACCTATTTCACCTCTAGTACACCTACTATATTGCATAAGTAGAACTTTTCTCCTTTCCAATTTTATAATCTTAGAAAGTGAGATGTGTTGTATAATGGATGATGCCCTGCAATTAACTCGCATTGTGTGTGTGCACCTGTATGTGTAACACACGTGTGTTTGTACTTGGATATGAAATTGTTCATCTTAAAATTAATTTACTATTATGTTTAAACATATATGGTAGCACAACCTATGTTAAATATCAAAGCAAACAAACAAACAAAGACCCCCAGATCCAGCCAGCCCATTTTGTATTCCCCCAGGTGGTAAAATATGAGACCATGATATGCAGATTGAAAACATACGGAATAGAATCCCAGTTTTCTCATCAATACATAAGTCTCTTTCCTTGTTTAGGCTTTGATTTCCAGGATTCGTAATGTTTCTCAGATTTTCAGTGTTTTCTAAAGTTCATTTAAAGTCAGCTATTTACTGATTCTATTCCTGATAGGCCCAAGATTCAGAGTGCGCTTGCTGTGGGGTTGCTGGGGAAGCTTGCTACATATATAGATCCCCAGCGCTAAGCCAGACTTACTAAATAATAATCACACAGGTAGCGGGGTTGAATCTGCGTTTTAAATAATTATTCAGTGCTGAGGAGCACTGGCTTTGCTAGAATATTTTAGGGACAACATACATGAGTTCTAATTCCGATACTTACTGACTGTGTGATCTGAAGACTGTCTCCTTCCCTTGTCATTGCTTTTGTTTCCACATCTCTAAAGTAAAACATTTGGATGCAATGATTTCTAAACCCCCATCTGACTTCAGGTAACTGAACCAGTGTGGACCACGCCTGGCCTTGCCAAGACCACTGTCTTTTCCCCACTGAATCAGACAGAGAAGGGAGGGTGCCAACTTTCAGATGGCATCGAGGCTACCATTTCTTTTTTTGTGTGTAATTTTTTTCCATTACCATTTAGTCCTCTTACACCCCTCTATTCCCTCGCAATCACCACACTGTTGCCCATGTCCGTGAGTCCTCTCTCTGCTTTGCTCTCTACCATCTCTCTTCTGCATGGCTGGAAAGATGGCGGCGGTCCCAATGACAGGCAGAAAAAATGGAAACTAACCTCAGGAGCATGCCTGCTCAACTCTGCCCCCACTAAGACAAAAAGAAGGAAGGTTTCCTCCAACATTTAAGTCATTTCACTTATGCCAAGAAGTTTCCGTGCTGAAGCGCCTGATGGTAGATTATAGTTAACAGTCTAAAGAATTGTACAAGAATACTTTCAGAATAATTCACTATGTTGCCTTTATTTTTCTTATTTTCCTACTAGCCATATCTCTAAAGAGTTGTTTAAATGAATATTCCAGATTCGAGTGAACACAAACCCCTCAAAAACAATGATTGGCAACCATTTTCTGTTACAGTAATTTTGGAGGGATATCTACATTTATTTTTGTTTGTATTTTAAGATTAAGACACAATGAGTTTTGCTACAGTTAGTAGAACAATGCTCCATAACTGGAGTGTGTCTTGGGCTATTCATCTTTCCTAATTAGTTTGAATTCACCTACTATTAAGATACTGGCAAAATACCTAAATACAGTTTGAAGACGTTAACCAGCATCTACAAGTTAACAACGGGTAGGAAAATTGAGGCCTCAGAAACAGGACCTAAGCTGATTCCAATTTACCAACAGCTTTAATACAGGTATAGTCAACACCTCAGGACCCCTGGCTCCTTAAGGAGTGAGCCTCCACGGCCCCAGGCCACCTTTCGAGAGCGACAGAAAGCCCCCGTGCAATGCACGTCAATGTGCTTTGGGCAGTACAGTCTTCTGAGCAAATAAGCCATAGTTTTTGCTGTGCTCCCTTCTTAAACAAAGAAGTAATCATAGTATAATGAAAACAGTAGTTTAAAGTAAGATAACTTGTCTCTACATGTAAGAGGGATTTTGAGACACGGAAAAAATGAAAGCAGAGAGAATAGGATTTATTACATTGACTCGGCCAGGACTATTGAGGGTGGGTATAGGTGGTAAATTTGGAATTGGTGAAAGGCACTTGAGACAAAGAAATACACAAAAGGTAACACTTGCAAGGGGAAATAAATGGCAATGTTTTCATCTGAGGGTGGGCTGAGAAAACCAAAGAATGGTACTGTTCTGTAAAAAGGGAAAATTAGAATGTAAAACTAGTTTGGAGGGAAAGATTAAAAGTTACATTTTAGACATAACTGAGCATTAAATATAAATTTAATTGTTATCTAGAGTTTCTCTGTACATTTCTAACCATAGGAATTAGAGGGTTCTTTTAAAAGACTTTATTTATTTTTAGAGAGAGAAGTTAGAGAGAAAGAAAGGGTGAGAAACATAGATGTGAGAGAGAAACATGGGTCCGTTGCCCCTTACACACCCCCTGAGTGAGGGCCAAACCCGCACCCAGGCGTGTGCCCTCACTGAGAATCGAACCGGAGACCTTTTGCTGTGTGAGATGACACTCAACCAGCTGAGCCACACTGGTCAGAGCATGGAGTTTGAAATTTTGATGAAATCAAGAAAAACCATCTAAGACTCATCAGTATGATGACTATGACTTTTCTCTCTTTGAGAGAAAAAAAAATTGAATATATAAAATTTCTTGAAAGTGACCATAGTGAACACTCAGGGAGAAAATTAAAACAATGGTAAAAGGGGTGGAGAAGAAACAGGTGGAGAGCCAGAGCACTGACATGTTACAGGAGCCAGGAAAGAGTTCCGAAAAGGAGACAGGGTGTCCAACCCATGGCCCATGGGCTGCATGCGGCCCAGGATGGCTGTGAATGCAGCCCAGCACAAAATCGTAAATTTACTTAAAACATTATGAGGGGTTTTATTTGTGATTACATGTTGCAGTGTATTTAATGTATGGCGCAAGACAACTCTTCTTCTTCCAGTGTGGCCCAGAGATGCCAAAAGGTTGGACACCCCTGGATATCATAAGAAAATCATTAACATTTAATAATAGCCAATGGGTGTATCCTGAGACATTTTTAGAGCCATTTTTGATAGTGTGGAAGGGGCATAAAAACAGGGAGAGTAGAAGCAAGTTAGGGAGGGGGTTAGAAGATTGGGGTGATTTAAAAAGGAGATGATGCAACCACATGGGTGGTCACAAAGGGAAGAAGAAGAGGCGAAGTCCTACACCCTAGGGGAGTTTGTGTTTGCGAATTTCCATTGGCTTTATTTGTAGAACCGAAGTGCCAGACTAAAATATTAATGATCCTGACCTTTTTGGGGTTAATTTTTGTGATCATATAAGTTCATTTCCCAGCAAAATTCAATGGCTATGTAGTTGCCACTAGGTGATTAATCTGGGCACTGACAGTATCCCTGGATTCCAGAATGTTTTTGAAGGTACAGTTCTTTGACGAACCACAAGGGGTCAGACTGCTATTAAACATTGGCGCCCAAGTACCCAGATGCAGTCTCCGGAAGCTGGAGGATCTAAGGAAAGCAGTGGAGGCTCTTGTTAAAGCCAACACCATCTGAAAAAAACACTCAAACAAAAACAGCAACAAACAGCCCTCACTGAATAGAGTAAGAAATAATGGGCTCCAAAAATTCTGGAATGTGAAACAATTTACATTGTTGGAGTTTATAACAGCAATCCTACACACAATACTTGAAACTTTACAAAGTGTTTTCAAAGGATTTGTCATTAAAACAACCCTAGAAGACAAGCATTGCCAGGCCTCAGTGAAATAAGAAGGAATTCAACTCAGAGCAGCCAAGTGTTTGCATAAGGTAAGGCAGCTAGTGAATGAAAGAAGAAAAATTCAAACCCAGGTCAGCCAGGGGTGTCAAACTCATTTTCACCGGGGGCCACATCAGCCTCACGGTTGCCTGCAGAAGGCCGAAAATAATTTTAGGACTGTATAAATGTGACTACTCCTTAACTAGGGGCAAGGAGCTCAGCACTGCCGCTGGGTAGAAACAAGGTGCTGGGCCGCATAAAACGAGGTGTAGAGCCGCATAAAACGAGGTGGAGGGCCGCATTTGGCCCGTGTCCCTTGCGTTTGCTGCCTGTGTATAATCTCCTAATATAAAGCATTACAGCGTTTTAAATAGATCCAGGGGATTCAGCTCTCCTGGGGGGGGGGGGGGTCTCATGGAGGAAATTTTAAAGAAGAAGGATAACCTTATCTCCCTTAGTCTAGACCTGCTTTTTGATGTCCACTAAGAAACCAGTGGTTGGGATTCTATCTAAAGGACACCAAAATAAGAATAAAAAACAGGAAAAGAAATTTAGGCAGAGGAAAGGAATAGCTTTCTTAGCCTACTTCTCCTTAAGCTGTAAGAGCTGTGCTCTCTTTCTGGTCCAACTGGTTACTCTGATATTCTCCTGTCTTGCTGTTTGCCGCACAGAAAGCATTGCTGGTTGGATCTGCATAGTCATTCTTCACCTTTTCCAACCTCTGGGGCTCCCAGAGTGTGACCCCTATTTGTCCCCGGTCACCATGCTAAAATGTCTCACACAGCGAGTGAATCGGGGCCCCTAGTTATAAAAGAAAGAAGTGTTTGGCCAGTAGTTGTTCCTTCTCACACCCAGTTGAGGAACTATGGACTTAGCTTTATTTAAGCTACTGTGTAGAAAGGAGTCACTGTTAAATCTTATATTGGCAAAGCTAGAAGAGGCATTAGAGACCACCTTGTCTCATGATACTGAACATTTGTATGAGACTCCTTCCAAAATGTGGTAAGAGCTAGAGTTGGAAAGGGCCTACAATAAAAGCTTAGTTTCTGCATGCTTAGTCCAAGACTATTTCAAACCTTTTATACTGGCTTTCTACAACTTTTGTGTGGCTACATCTGATCCTTATAACAATCCTGGGATTGAAGCATGATGGCTGTTGTCTAAAAAACTCTTTGGCTAAGCAAATGAGGTACAGGCAGTGAGTGGTTTGTCTGAAATGACACAACCAGCCAATGGGTAATGGCAGGACAAGTTCTGAAACATGGTTCTCCAGCCACTTCAGGGATCCTTGAAGGACCGGACAAGTTAGAAGTATGAAATGTATCTACGTGCTGAGGAAGTTTGTTCATATACCATTTGGATGATTTGGTTTTATTTATGGGAATCCTTAGCCCTTCTTAGTCTCATATGTAGGGGGCAGTGGAAGGGGAAAAGTGGGTTTGGAGAGGGGGGTGGAGTCTAGAAGTCCTCCAAGTCAACACCTTCCCCATGCGCCACTTCCATATCTGCTTTCTAAAGGACAAAAGAGCCGGGATCACGAGATCAGAGGGTCGAATGCCACGGAAAGGTGGCTTAAGATGGCGTCTCTTTCAAGTAAGAGACATTTTTTTATTTTCTTTTCCTCACTGACCTGTCTGTAGAGAGACATATATCCCTGACTTAGATGCCCTTTTTCTCAGCTTCCACGCTGCCTGTGTTTGGCCCACGGTAGCATGTATCACACACTGTGCTGTAATTTTCCGTGTCCTTTTCTGCTTTCCTAACATGAATATGATGGTAAACTTATGGAGACAGTGTTTATAACTGATTCTTTTCTGTATAGCCAGCACCCAGAACCATGTCTTCCAAATATTAGTTATCTATTGGCTGTTGGTGGAATGCATGAAAATATCAATGGTGATTCTATGGTCTACAGTCTGTTCTTGGCTCAAGCACACAATTGCAAATGTGTATATTCATGACAAATACAAAATACATTAGCTTTTAAGAAAAAAGTGTCCTATAGTTAATCATGCCGTAAAGATTTTCCAGCCTGGTTTCTATTTGGGGACCTGAAGGAAAGGTTACTATCCTAGAAGTAGTATGAAAAAATGGAGTTATTTTTTAAGAGCACTGGGGGCAGGAGAAGTGGGCCCATAAAAATACCTAGGTATCTTCTATACAACTAAGCCCTAAGAAGATCTCCGATAAGCACCATACTACACAACCTCAATAGTACAAGATGTAAAATTTCACAACCAAAATGTGTGTTATAGTCTCAGGTGCCTTAAGTCTGACATATGTTATAATATTTTGTGACTCAGTTGTGTGACTCTTCTGATGAGCTTTTCCCCATGCAAACCTTTGGAGAGCTTTGTCCATGTATAATGGTTTGCTAACATCTTAAAGATATGATTCCTTTTACCAATGCCCACACATTTTTTAATAAGGTATTTTAATAAAGCTTACATGCCTTGACTCTAAATGTGGTCCGAGGTACATTGTGACAGTTGGCCTTCATTTGGCTCAATGAGGATGTGTTGGAAATCGACCACAGTAGGTTGTTGGAAATTGTGGATCAGCAATCAGAAGGAGTGTGGTCAAGCACTGGTTTGAATGCTCCCTGGTTGGGTGGCATTGGGAAACTACTCAGTTATCCCGAGGATCAATATTCACGTCTGTAAACTGATTAATGTGATATTGCTCCATGTGCCTCTCAGAGTTATTGTGATATTCAACTGAGTTACTCTGTGTGGTTTGGCTATTATAAAGCAATGGATAAACATAAGGCAGTATCCTTTTAAAGGAACTAAAAGAGAAGTGAGTATGGTCCCTCTCTTCACGTTAAGGATCACTTCATTTCCCACATTTGGAAAAGTTTGCTTCTACCTATTGTGTATTGCCTGTACCCTGGAAAACATGGTGTGCGTGTCACTTGGACACCAAAGATTGACTGAGTTGACATTGAATCGAGAAGAATTTAAAACTCTAGGCTGCTCCTGAGAGATCACTGTAACTGGGGGCATGTATTAGGTGCTACCACTGTTCCTTCTACGGGGCCCATGACCTTCATTATTAGTCATCATAGCACGTGTTCTCACCAAGGCTACATGCAGCCTCAGAATCCTAAATGGAGCAACTTAGGCACCAAAGTTCAAATACTATAAACAGACTTGGGGACAGAGCAAGCTAATATAAAGACATTAAAATTTTTGTTTTCAGGAGAATAAATGGATGTAGCCACCATGGGGAAAATTAACAAGCCATCATGTAACATTTGGAAGCTCCTTGCAATAGTCACCCATATCTTTATAACAATACAGAAGTAGAGTTATTAGAGTTGCAGTGAAAAAAACAACTGTCACTTAAAGACCAAAACTAGTCTCCAGGGGAACAAATTAGGGTTGGAGCAAAAAGTCATACCTGTGGTATTTGCCTTACTCCTTATATTCATAAGGAGTAAGTAAATAACTGCCATACACCATTAACTTACTCCTGAATGCAATAAATACAGAAATGTGTATCTTGTGTCTCAAATAAAAAGTCTCAGTTATGTTTAATATATTCCAGATGAGCAGACAAAGAAGGTTGTTTTCTTTTTTTTTTAAGATTTTATTTATTTATCTTTAGAGAGGGAAGGGAGGGAGATAGAGAAAGAGAAACATCAATGTGCGGTTGCTGGGGGTCATGGCCTGCAACCCAGGCATGTACCCTGACTGGGAATCGAACCTGCTACACTTTGGTTCACAGCCCGCGCTCAATCCACTGAGCTACACCAGCCAAAGCAGAAGGCAGTTTTCTATTTCAGGAAGCTTTACCTCATATACATGCACATAATTTCATATAAATATATAAACAAATAAATATATGTAAATAAAGATATATTTGCATATACCTTTATATAAATGTTTATATGTTTACATATGCCTTTATATAAATATTTATAAATATTTGTATATAAATTTGTATAATATTTAGATATAGTTATGTATACACCTTTATATAAACAAATCTATGTATTTATGTATACCTTTACATAAATATTCATATATTCTATATAACTAAATAAATGTCTCTATATTTATACATAACCTCATATGAATGTATGTTTATGCATAACTTCACATAAATAAGTATATATGTATATACATAAATAATCATGAGCTTGCTGTCCGAAGCTCCCGCTCGGTGGAAGAGCCCCTGGGGCGGATGCACTAACACCCACGTCACTGTGCTCGCTCCGGCAGGTTGACTGTGGTGAGTTCCAGGACCCCCAGGTCTTCTGCACTCGGGAATCTAATCCCTACTGTGGCACCGATGGCCAGACGTACGGCAATAAATGTGCCTTCTGTAAGGCGAAGGTGTAAGTATCACACTCACCAACCCGTCCCTTGGAAAAACAAACTTCCGGAATAAGACAATGACACTTTCTTCGAGATAGTCTAGAAGTTTCTATTCATACCCACCCATAGAAACTAAAGAAATAAGCTTCAAAGAGACTGAAAACAAATGGGTCAAAAACAAATAAAAATTTACATAATAAATTATTTGAAAGCATAATCTCCATTACTTTGTGATTATTAAATGTGATTTGTCTTAGGGAAATTTTAAAACATTTTACATTTTTAAGAATTTTGATACATTTTCTTATTTTTTCCACTTCTAACTAAAAATTTTAATAATTTTTATCCAGGTGTGTTTTGTAATTGCTATTATTATTAATTTTAGAGATTAAGTTTGAAAATTCACCAAAATCAGAAACATGAAAATCTTGTGAGAAAATTTATTACCAATAAAAGCAATTATTGTATCTACATTATTTTCAAGCATTTTATTTTATACCAAATTCTATGTTGCTGAGGCACCAATTTTCATTCATTCCTCTCTTTTGGTCGGATGAAAAGAGCCTTTCAACAAAGAACAGAGGAGAGGATCATCCTTCATTATTCAGACAACTCAAACTTTACAGACAGGGTGCTAGGAAGATTCTACCAAGGGCCAATATTTAATGAATGTATGTGTTAATAAGGAACAGAACAGGTGCTCTAGATTTTAGCCAATAGACTGTGAGCTTCCAGATGAGACACATTTTGTAATTAATAGAAACCTATTCAAACAAGCAATTTCTTAGTCTGATTGCTCCAAACTCCAGGAAATTATAACCCTCTTTAAAAGTAACCTCACTTCCTTACCACTGTCATCCTTTTCTTATATCAGAGTTTCTTCTATGAATGTCTTACTTTCAACTTTGCTGTAAAATTTCTAAGCACAGGGGTTATATAACTTTTTATCAATAATAACAGAGCTAAGCACATAGAATTAAATGAATAAATATTGAATAAATATACAGTAACTATTTCTGCATTTATATACAGCATATACAGCATATACAGCATTATATGATTAATTAACACCAAACTTTTCTCAGGATAAGAGCCATTGGGTAAGTTGAGATTTGATATGATGAACACCCATTACTAAGAAGGCTTAAATGTATGGTCTGCCATAATAGACCAGATGCCTGAGTATTCTGTTTAACTTCTTATATTTTCTATTAGCCAGAATTGTGACACTATAGTCTCTTTACCATTATTCCTTTTGTCATTTTTACCTTTTTCAGTTGTATATATATTTACTCTCAGAGAAATAATCATCGAAATCAAACTTCTCTAAGTTTGTTTATTAAATCAGTTGGTTTCAGATTCATGCTTTCTGTTGTTAGGACAGATGTCATCTCTGAGTGGATTTAATTAACGTCTGCCAGATCACTGACACGGGTACCCGTACAATCCAATGATTGCACAGATGATGACGCGGTTAGACCCTTATCCGCCCTCTGCAGTGAACACAGATGATATTGCGCTGAGCATGTTTTGTCTTTTTCTTTTATAGGAAAAGTGGTGGGAAGATCAACCTAAAGCATCATGGAAAATGCTGAATGAGAGCCAGGGTTCTGTGCTGCCTTCCCAGCTCTCTCCTCCTTCTTTTCTTGCTTCTGCTTTTATTTTTCTCTAGCTGATCTCTTAAATTTACAAAAACGTACCTTCTGCTTTGCCTGGGTCACAGGAAGTTCAATATACATCTATTCCCTTGATTCACTTAACAATAAAATAAATTCTGCAGAAGCCTGGCCTGTGTTTTTACTTTGAGATCAAGAAAACATACAGATACAATATGGGGTAATTGACCCGACATAAACCTGGGTAAACAGACCTGTTTTTCTGATCCAAATGAACCCTGAAGTCACTGTGGGATCTTGGGAAAATCCCTTCCCATCTCTGTTTTTGGAATTTCCATGTGGCTAATGAAGAATTTTTTATTGTAATATCTATTATTTAAGGCTTAGGTGAGATAATATTGATTCTCCCCATTTTGGGGGACAATATTTTATATAAAATAAAACATTGATCTTCTTTGGACCATAGTTTTTCATCTCTATGAAATGGTGGATTTAGACTATATACTATGTGAACACATACATTATTTGTTTTCGCAGCAATATCATAGAGTCTAGCAGATAGAAAGAAGTGAATAAATATTCAATACATAGTGACTATCCAGTCAATAGTGAATGGAGGCAAAGTCTATAAAAGTGTGTACATTTAAAGAAAACAGTTCATTGATCTTAATCATGGAATGAGAGAAGTGGATAAAATGTAAGGACTCGTAAGGCCCAGAGAAAGTTTGATTAGTTAATGGCCAAAGAAAAATGCTCCAGGTGGTAGAAGAATCAAGGTCTCAACACAGGTCTTTCAATGACCCACTCAGTCTCCATGTAGCTGGCTCAATCTTCTGAAGACAATATTCTGATATATAAATGTCTTATTCTGAGTAATCCAGATAGAAGTCTGGGGAGAAATCTCCCTTTGAGCATTTTCTTGGTGCAGAGCACGTATTTACTAGTAACACATTCCGGGGTGAACTCACATAAGACGTCCCTAGGTGCATTCACTAGGTAATAACCATCAATAAGCACCAGCAGGGCACCTACTCTGTGGCAGGTAGGTACTTGGACACAGTTACAGTTAGGGATGAAAAGAACCAAAAATCCCATTCTTAATAGAATTTGCATACCAGCAGGGAGAAATAGACAAAAAACAATAGGGAAGTACATGACATAGTAATGTTTGGGAAGATGATGGCCAATCGCAGTACTAAGTCAGGTAGTTAGAAGAGTTCTTACTGGGAAGGTGTGGAGATAAAGGAGTTAGCTGAGCCAATATTCTAGGGAAGAGCAAAAAGTAAAGCTAGAACACAGTCCTTCCATCTGTTGCATTCCTCTTTGTTCAAGGTTCAGTGGGGAAGCAATGTGACTGAAGAGGTGCAAGTGAGTGGGCAAGTAATGGGTGATAGGTTCAGAGAAAAATTAATGCAAACCATGAAAAGCCTTGTAGTCACTGGTAAAATTTTTGCTTCTATTCTGACGAACAAAATGTGTTCATTATAAATACTAAGATCTTATTTCTGCTTTTAAAAAATCTACCTTCTGCTGTGAATATACCATATGGTCTCACCTATGAGAGGAACCTAATGAACAAAACAAACAAATGAGCAAAATAGAACCCGAGGCATGGAAACAAGGAACAGACTGACAGGGCCCAGAAGGGATGGGGGAATGGGATAAGGAGGGAAAGTACAGGAAGGGTCTAGTCAAGGAACAGGTACAAATGACCCATGGACATGGACACACAGTGGGGATTAACTGTGGGAGTCGGAGGTGGGCAAGGCAGGGGTGAGCAATGGGGAAAATCAGGACAACTATAATAGAACAGCAATAAAAAAATCTATCTGCTTTAAAAAATGTATGTTAACATTTAAAACAATTTCTCATCAAGTGCTTTTTCTGTCCCTTTGACTGTACTGCCCCTTTATCTTCAGGGCATACATTTCAAGACCACCTCCAACAGATGCCTAAAACCACAAAGAGTATACTATATATTATATATACATATACAAAGGTACCTATATGGAGATACCTATGATAAAATTTAAATGACTCTCACACTTTGGGGCCATTAGGAAGGAAAAGAAGGGCTGCGTGTATAGCAAGCACTGAGGTACCCCAACGGTCGATCTGATGACTGAGACGGCTCCTAAGTGACTAGGGGGTGGGGAGCATATACAGGGCCCCCACCCATTAGTGGACAAAGGGATGATTCACAAACTGGGTGGGAGGAAGTAGGACAGCATGAGATTTCATCACACTACTCAGAAGGGTGAGGAATTTAAAACTTAGGAATTGTTTATTTCTGAAATTTTCCATTTAATATTTTGGGACTACAATAACTGACACTATGAAAAGCAAAACCACGAATAAAGGGGGACCACTGTATATGAAATTTCCTGCTTACTTGAGAAATTAAACACTTTTCTCCCTTTTAGTTTCTACCTATGAAGTAATTTAGCTACCACTAACATAAACCTGTGGAGAACAGCATGTAGTTGGATAAGTGAGCCATCACCCATCTTTAAAAGTGTTGCCCCTCTGCGCGACCTCCCCTTCCTCTCTCTGGTGGGAACTGTCCACGGCATTCAGCCAGGCCAGGTTCCTGTGGGCTGTCCACACAGAAAGTGCATTTCCATCACTCTGCCCCAGGCTGCCTGCAACGCTTCTGGCCCACCCACAGCCACCCTGCCTGTCCTTCCTCTCTCCTACAACCCTCTCATCCACATCCTAAGGTGACCATTTATTCCGTGGCTCATGTCAGGTGTTCTCACTGAGCAAATGATCAAAACACTATCTCGTCTAGTTCTGAGCTATTCTTTGGGGAAGGAAGGGAAGCTTATGAATGCTAAACCACAGAAGACCAGAAATTTTGTATTTGTTAGAAAGAAGAGGCAAGTCACATATAAAAAATCAACAGTCAAAACATAGACATTTTGGCTAGGAGATGTATACATTTGTCAAATCTCAGTGAAAACACTTAAGATGTATGGGTATCATAGTTTGCAAACTTTCCATCAAAAGGAAAGATGTAAACATATAATGTAGTCTTAAATATAACATACATAGTGAAGTTTTTAGAGAAGGGGCACTGATATCTACAGTTTACTTTAAATTTCATCAAAGATGGATTAATGGATACATGGATAGATACATTAAAAACAAATATGGTAAAACTAATGGTATAATCTAGGTGGTGGATTTATAGGGGTTCACTATAAAATTATTTTAGCATTGCTGGATGTTTAAATTTTTTCATTAAAATTTTTTATAATTAATAAAACACAGACTCAACCAAGAGGAACAAATATTCAGAATTTCATTTTTTGTTTGTCATTACTGTAAAATCCAGGACAGAACACACTGTTTCAAGTATGGTCTGTACTCTTCTCTTAAAAGCAAAAAAAAAAGTATCTGACCCGAACACCCATATCCATCAGCATGCCTCCAGATAGCAATAGGAACATTGTCGAGATGGTGTCATACCAAACTTATAACCAGTAACTATCTCCATGTGTTTTTCTTTCCATGCCAACTGTTGCTAAGTTACATCTTTCTCAGCTGTTCTTCTTTCATTGTTTTTTTGCAGCTAAATTCATTGTGCAAATGACATGTTGTGTGGATGATTAAGGAGGGAAGGGGGCTTGTGTGCAGGCTTTTGTGAAGGTTTCTCAAGATGGCTTACACAGACACATGTACCACACAAACGCACTCTAAAGTGACAAGGAGAACAACAGGGGTAAAAAGGCCAGAGAAAATAGTAACTAAGATAAAAACAGAAATGAGCTACCACGAATAAGTTTAGCCAATGAATTTACCGAGGACTTCGCATGTTTCCTGGGATAAGCACATAAATATGATCACATTTAAATTGAGCAATAGCAAAGAAGTTGAAATCCCATTTCATAAAAGAGGAGCCTGAGGTAGAGAGATATAAATGACTTGTCCACGATTTTATAGCCAGTGAGTTGCAGAGTCTGGGTTTACTCAAGAGGGTTATATCAATTCCAAATTTCTAAACTTTCTATTACATAATCATAGTAATTTGAGTAATTTGGATATGTGTTGTGTTGGAAAGATTAATCCTATATAATTAGATACATCAGAAATAGAAGTACTCATAATTCAACAATACTTGGGCAAATATATAAAAAGGTGACATTTATCCATCATAATTGTTAGTATGTGAATGCTTATGTTAATTTTGTGATGGGGCAACAGCTTTAGCCTGAAAAGTCTTGGTTCAAAGGAGCTATTAACTCGAACTAGGCGTTTAGTGAAATGTTTTCTTTCTCTGCCTTTCTTTTTGTCTTCCCCAGAGCTGGTATCTGTGACTTTACAGAATTTTGCTTCATTTCAGTGCTGCAGTTTGAGTTCAGAGAAAATACATACAACAGATTTCTCTAGCTTTTGTTGGCAAAAAATTTAGACCTAACCTAATCAGAAAAGGGTATCATTGTGTGGCTCACTTTGGCTCCCTGCAGTTACCCTTCAGATTGATAGGATGTGTACACTAAAAGAATGTACATAATAAAGTACCATTCCGTAAGTTCTGGTGTATTGTTTCCATTTCCATTTGTCTCAAGTTGTTTGTTGTTGTTGTTGTTGTTTTAGAGAGGGAGGGGAAGGCAAGGGGAAACAAAGGGAGAGAAACATGGATGTGAGAGAGAAACATCAATTGGTTGCCTCTCGTATGCGACCTGACCAGGGACCAAAACCACAACCCAGGCCTGTGCTCTGACCAGGAATCTAACTGGCAACTGTTTGCTTTGTGGGATGATGCCCAGCTGAGCCACACTGGTCACGGCTCAAGTTGTTTTTTAATTTCCCTTTTGATTTCCTCCTTTGGCCCATTGGGTTTTGGGAATGTGTTGTTTAATTTCTACATATTTGGATGTTTTCCAGTTTTCCCCCTGTTACTAATTTCCAGTTCCATACCATTGTGATTAGAAAAGATTCTTGAAATGATAATTTCCTTAAATTTGTTAAGATTTATTTTGTGGTCTAATATATGATCTATCCTAGAGAATGTTTATTGTGCACTCGAGAAGAATGTGTGTCTTGTGCTGTCAGATAAAATGTTCTGTTCCATCTGGTCCATCTGTTAGGTCCATCTGGCCTAAAGTGTATAGTTCAAATCCAATGTTTTCCTATTGAATTTCTGCCTGGATGATCTGTCCA